CGGACCGGGCAGTCAAAGCAGGGTCGTGGTGTGGAGAGGCCGAAAAAAGAGAGGCTGGCTGGAAGGTTTGGCCAGGCCAGTTGCGCCGATTCGCGATGCGTCTACATCCCACTCTCACCCCGGCGCTTGGGACTGCCACCCTAGCTGCGATATGGGGCAAAGACGATTTCTGCCGCTGACCTGACAATGGGTGACCCAAGTAGCTTCTCGATGCAGTCTCATGCAGCGTGTCTGGGCGCTATGAATGAGCAAGGTATCTATCTCCTCGTGAGCCTGTCTCTCGATGCTGTGGATCATGGCAGCACGGCTCAGTAAACACGGGCGCGTTGCTCAGCTTCAGGGCTGGATACTCCAGCAATTTCTGGCATGGCCGTGTTGGAGGCCGTCTAGTGCTGGGCTTCGAGAGCTTCAAAGAAGGAGGCCCTTCAAAGGCCATGAGCAGTAGTTCTCCCTCCTTGTCCTCAATACCAGGGCGGGCTATCGGCGAGAGTTTCTTGTTCTGGCATGCCTTCTGAAACGCAACCTGTCCAACATGTAGCGCTGCACTCATAGACTGGCGCGTTGTACAGAGGCCGAGTTGCGAGTCCGGGCGTATGGCAGAGCGGGGTTGGCCCTGGCAACACATGGGGCCATGACATGGGATGATGTGATGGCATTTGGAACATCGTGATGACGATCAAGATGTTGGAAGAGATATCCACCGCGGTGCGTGAGGCGCGCCATCGAAGCGTACAGAGAGGAGCTGTGACGAAGTGGGGGCGCAAGCTCTGGTGGAGGGCGGGGTACCTGGCAAAGGTCCTGGTAAAGGTCCTGGTAAAGTTCCTGCCTGGGTCTGCCGGGCAACCGTTGCCTTACCTAAGGCAGTCACAGTCGAGCACTGGACTTGATAGCTCCTTCCACCTTGCATCTAGGTGGTCGTGCCTGCTGGGGCAAGTCTCAAGTCCCTCGAATCTCATCCTCCCAGATCGTCTCCTCCAGCTCCTACCTAGAGACAATCAATCACCTTCTTCTTTTGCCCATGCACTCCGCCAAGACCCTTGACTCGATGCTCACCGTGGTCATGAACACGTCCCCCTTTGTGGTCCGCCCCCCTTCCACCACAATCTTCTTCTCCGGTCTTTTCAGGGACAGACCCAGGGCTCCCAACCTCTTCGCTGCTGTCGGCGCTAACCATTAGGCGGATGCACATCACCCAAACCATGCGGCGAGCTTACGCACCAGCCAGCCCCATCCTCCTGCACAGCCAGTTACCCACCCAACGACCTGCATCATGCCTCACAGACTTCCCACCAAGCGAATCGCACCTCTAGCGAGCTCATCACGAACCCATGGTCCGGCCACGCCAAATTTGGAACCGGCGGCCAACCCCAAACCATGTGCTCGTTCATTCGACGGACAGGCTGCACCGAATCATCTTTATCTCGCACTCTTCTCACTCTCGCCCATGCCAGCCTAGCCGTCGACAAGGCGTGCCCTCTGCCTCCCAAGTCTGTGTGGCAAAGCGCCGGCGCTTCTGCTTCTGGGTTAGTATCGCCCGTCAACGCAGGTACGCGGTGCAGTGGAGTCGACGACCCCGATAATCTGGAAGGCTGGGAGGGTCCGCTGCTCCTGTTGGGATTCGCCGCCCCTATCCGTGGAAGGGGCGAGGCGCGCCTTGCTCTGCCATCGGAAGCGAAATCATACTCATCAGATGAAAGCCTCTTTTGAGACATCGCCCCCGGCTCGTTGTGAAGCAAACGCCAGACGCCTAGCTTGCAAACGCATTCTAATCTCATAGACAGCACGGTGCGATCGCGGATCCCAACTCTTCATCCAACCGCTCGACCAACCAACCCTGCGTCTCCTTCTTAGCTCAGGCGAAGCGTATGCGCCTCGAGACCGGCTCGCTTTCTTCTGCCTGCTCCCCCTTTGGCTCACCCGGCTTCCCGGGACTCATAACCTCGCCATGTGGCCGCTTCGCTCGGCTTGCCAGTCCATTTGCTGTCCCTGTGGCCCCGTTACGTGTAGGCGTCTCATCCAATACCGTCGCCCGGGGGACAGCCCCATCGGTTACCCAAATATCTTCATCAGGGTGCACAACTCGTCCGAAGCCCCTGCCGAAAATTGGCTGTGGATGCCTCAGAGATGCTGTCTGCGCTAGCCCTTCATGGGGGCCCTCTGGCATTGGCAGGAATCCAGAATTGAGGATGTAGTTGAATAATGGCCGATCATCGAGGATGCTTTTGCATTTGATGTGCTCTGCTTGGCTCATCTTGTGCTTCCGCATTATAATAACCTCCTCGAGACTGCCTCGAAGTACTAGTGTCTCTACCGAAACGGCCTTCTGCTGGCTGATACGACGCGCTCGACCGATGGCCTGTGCCTCTACCTGGGGGTTGAGGACGGGGTTCAGGAAGTAGATGCGCGACGCTGCCCGCATGTCAAGGCCGTATGCAGCCTGTGTTATGTCCATGAGTATGACGCTGTGATGCATTCCCATTAGCATCCGGGTATGTAAGAGTGTCAGCCAACATACCGAAACTTGGTGTTGTTGTTGAAAGTGTTGATGTATTGTGCCTTTCGCTTTTGTGTCAATGTCTTGGCGTAGATGAGATGTTCGATCTGGATCTATTACATGTCAGTCAGTGTCTATGGTACTGTTGTCATCCAGGCGTGGGGAAACGAACGACATCCAGCATGCTAGCAATGTACCACGCCGTATTCTCGTTTTCATAGAAGACAATGATCTTCTCGTGTTCGTAATGTTCAATGATTGCATCGAGTAGATAAGTCATCTTCGCCGACGCTGTAGCCACGAGCTCCGCCTTGGCAAACGCCTCGGGGATCACAACATCAACATCACTCCGGTTTTGTTCACCTTCAAGCGAGGCTTTCACAGCGTTCGTTCGCAGCTTCTTAACGCTCTGGTCATCGCCGAGCTTCGTGTTTCCCGCGAGCATCTTGTTTCTCGCCGCCGCCGCCGCCGACCCGCGAGGGATGCTGTCTTCCTTGGCCTCCCACTCGGCCTGGTCGCGGTGCCGCCGGCCTGCGGCGAGAAGTCCTCCGTTGAGGAGACTATTAAGGGCCGTCTCATCACTGAGAGCGGGGCGGATGAGCTTCTGCGCGGCCATGATCAGCGGGGCGTTTGTGCACACTTAAGAACCCAGCTAAAAACAAAAATAAACAACTTTCCGGCGGGCGGGACGCAATGGCCGCGGAGATAAGGGAGGATGTGCGAATGTGGACGTGAGTTACGCAAAGAAGAGAGGTGTAGATGGCACTAATATTCGTGAGTAGGCCAGGGAGTGTATGATGTCGCTCTCCTCATAGTACGACAGCTCT